CAAGCTAACCCTGGGTTTCACAAATGCCTGGCTTGTTCCCAGCACAGCACAGCTGGGAGGGCTCAGCACGGGGTGGGGGTGGGTGGAGGAGCCCCGTCCTCTTCCCCTGGCCCCCGCTGTCCTCGGGCCCAGGGCCCAGGGGCTGGAGCCCAGCAGAAGGAAGGGCTGCACTTGTCCACACTTGCCACAGTGCTGGCGGTGAACCTGGGCCTTCCCTCCCTGCTGATTTCCCAGCTCTGGAGGCTTAGTCAAGGTTCAAGGAGGATACTCCCTGGCCCAGGAAGAGAGGAGGATCCAGGCTTGTCTTCCCTGAAGGCAGTGGAGAGTGGTCTGAGAGTCACCTGACAAGGTGTTGAGTATGCAGGTTCCTGACTATCCTTGGGGGTTCTAATTCAGAAAAGTAGGGGCTGGAATCTGAGAATCAGCAATTTCATCCACTCCCTGGGGGTCGGCCAAAGGTGGTTCTGTGGCTTTCGGGAGCTTTGGGAGAGGGGCCGGGTGGGCAGGGAGAAGGGTTGAGTGGAAAGAGCTCTGGATTCCCCTGTAGGGCCTCCAGCTCTAAGGAGCCCCTGGACCCTGGCAGAACTACCTTTGGGATCCAAAACTCAGTTTCTCCATCTCTGAAATGGGTGTGTGACCCACGGGAAGGGTGATCAACTGTCTTGGTCTGCTACATTCAGGGCTACTAACCCAGGACAAGCTGATCCCCATACCTGAGGGTGAGACAGGATTGTGGATTTTCGAGATACTGGAAATGTACAGCACAAAGAGCAGTTTATTCATTTTATTTGCATTTTTACTGGTGTCTGTCACTCCTAAATCTCAGGAAAGCAGGAGGTGCAGGGCTTTGTCCTGTTCACACTCAATCCCCTGACACACGAGATGTGTTCAGTAGGTACTTGATGAATGAATGAATGAATGAATGAGTGAATGAGTGGATTGAGAGGCAAAGGGCCGCGGGGCTCCAAGGACAGTGGTATGTGGTGGGGAGGGTCTGCCAGCCCTCGGCGGCTGAGGGAGGGGGAAATGGGGGCGGGACCTCAGCTCCTCTGGGAGGAGGAAATTTGATCTACCCAAGGCCAGCAGAGTCAGGGCTTTCGGAGAGCCTCCCCTTGGAGGGGTCAGTGACCCCCAGTGACGAAGGACTCACTCTCTCCCTCTCTCCCTCCCTCCCCCCAGGAGCCCCGTGCACGCCGGTCCACCCTCTCTCCTCCCTCTCCCGCCCCCAACCCCAGGGAGGTGCGCCTGGCAGCCTCCCGGCCGAATTTCCTGGCACTGGGCTGAGAATAAACAGCGCTCTGAGCCTGTAATCCCGTTGCCATGGCGACCGCTCCGCGGGCGGCGGGGGCGTGTCGGGGGCGTGTCGGGGGCGGGGCGGGATTGCCAGCGCAAACGCACTGCTGGGCGGCGACAGCGGCGCGGGCCCGGGAGGTGCCACCCGCCCCGCTCCTCGCGGACATTCTTCGCATAGCTCCGTCAGGGCTCCCGCGGTGTCCGGGAAGTGACTCTTCCTGGCAGAGGCCGGCCTTAGAGCGACGCGCCCGCCCGGCGGCCGCCCGAACGGGAGGGAGTGGGACGCGGCTAGGGAAGGTGCACCCAGGACCTGGCGCTTCCCACCTCGGTCTTCGTCTTCCCGGTCCGCCCCTGTGTACGTCGTCCCCCACCCCCAAAGATGTCTGTCTGCTTAGACTCCCTCTGTGTCTGTCTGACTCTGCCCCTTTCTCTCTGCCTGGAGCCCCGCGGTGTCCCCTCCCAAACATCCTTACTCCTCCCTTAGACTAGGACACACGTGCCCTCTTATTTTCCATCTCCAGCTCTCCTGTCTGTGGCCTCTTTTCTTCCCTCCCCCAGAGCAGGCCTGGCTCTAACTCGTCAGGAGGCCTGCCCTAAAACAGCACCACCGGAGAGAGGATATGGCCTCTTGGGGGTGGATCCCTGGAGCGCCTGGAGCACATAATAGCGCACAGGGCCAGGGGAGCGCCATCCCCTCTCTTTCCGCTGGCCAGGGACCCCCCAGCTGTGCTTTTCTTAACCCCACTGAGGCATGGGTTCCTGCTCAAGCCACAGAGAATTGTCCCCATTGCTGCAGGACACTTCTTAGCAAATCTTGGAACCAGGCACACGCCTCTCCTGGTGGCCAGGACAGAGGGTCCCTCATGGAGTCCTTTGGAGGAGGGGTGTCTGCCCCTGAAAGGACTGAGAAGCACAGAAGTCCCCTCATGCAACAGGAGTTGGGATGAGGAGAGGAAAAAAGTGCTGGTGAGCAGCAGTCTGAGAGATTCTTGTGCTGGTGTGGCCATTAATTTGCTGTGTGAACTTGAGTAAGTTGCTTTCCTTCTCTGAGACTCAGTCTGATTCATCTGCAAAGGGAGTTGGTCCAGTCTGTGGTCTGAAAATGGAGAGAACTATGGGAAGAAGGCTGGGGTGGGCAGCCAGGGAAGGGAGTCAAGGGTCTTCCTGCATCTGAGTTCAAACCTCCAGGGTGTGGGGAGAGCTGTCCCCCTACCCCAACCAACCCTCCCCAACCCAATCCCTTTCATTAGCGCCCTCTGAACACTGGCTGAACAGCTGCCTTCTGGGCTGAGCACAGGCCCTTGGTGCACTCTGGGTTCCAAGGATCCATCGAGGTTTTGTACCAGCAGATGTGACCTGTTTGCGTGGAAGGCAAATGGTGGCAGGCTGGCAGGCCCTGAGGTGGGAAAGAGCCTGCCAGAAGTGTCCCAGGTTCTCATCATCCTGGGAGGCACTGGGGAGCCGGGCCCCACTGGGTCCCTCCACTTGACCTTGTCCTCTAGAAGGTGACCTTGTCTGGGTCTGCATCTTCAGTTCCAGAGGTCTCTCTGTTGGGGGTCTCATGTGCTCTGTCCACTCAGCAGTCTCACAGCTGGCCTGGCCCTTTGCTGTTACTTTAGGTTATTTTCCTCCAAAAGTCCAGGAAATGGGAAAGAAAAATGACTGTTTATTTACTCTCCGTTGCCTTTTGGACACTGATTCCTGGAGCAGCTTATCAGGGGCCGGGAAGAGGGCATTTGTTTCAGGCACCTGGGGCTCAGGGGAGGAGATGGGACCCCTGACTTGGGGAGAACCCTCATCTCTCCAGCTGTCAGGTATGGAGGTTTGGGGGAGGAAGAAACATGGGAGGAATATGTCACAGAGAAGGCATTTTTAGTTTGTTTTTTAGCAGAACCCTAGTGCTGAGTATGCACATGGTGGTGTGTGTGTGTGGGTGTTCCAACCTCTTGGCTTTGCAGGGGGTACCCACCTAGGGGCCATATACTTGGTGCTTACTTAGGGAGGCAGAGAGTTCACAGACTTTGGGAAAATCAAAAGTGCCTGGGTTCCTAGCCTGTCTTTCCCACATTCCCAAGTGGCGTGTCCTTGGGCAGGCCACTTTAACTTCCATGAACCCGAGTGCCTCCCCCAACTCAGCCAACACATATTTACTGAGAACCATTCTAGGCATCAGAAGTGACCCATCCAAGTCCCCGCTTCCATGTAGCACACAGCAGCGTCTGAGAACATGGGGTGACAACACCTGCCTTGTGGGGGTGGCTGGGAAGGTTAACCAGGTGGTCTCTAAGTGCTCAGGGACTGGGCGTGGCTGAAAAACAGATAAATAGATGACTGCCCTCTTGGGTGGCAGGTAGCCCCATCCACTGCTCAGGTTGGGGCTCCCAGGAATTGGGAGGGAAGCTGGAGGTTTGGGAAGGCAGTGTCCCCGGTTGGGGGGAGGGTAGCCCACTGCATCAGGGTTTGCATTGGGACTACCCCTTCCCCCACCTCCCTTGTGGTGAGGTCATGGGTCACCGCCAGGACCCTGTAGCCTGGGCTTTCTCGGAACACCTCCCTGCCAAGGAGCCCAGAGCCTCTAATAGCTTATAGCTTGGAGCCTCTAAAAGCTTTGACCACAGCTCAGCTTATACTCCCTGCAAGCCCTTTGAAGCGCTTCCTTCGAACTTGCTTTGCATATTCTGGTCAGATCTGAATCAGACTAGCAGGAATTACCCCTCTAGGTACCGGCTAGGTAGCTGCCTTGGTTTGTCAGTGACGTGAAGCCAGAGTTTGAGTCCATTGTGAACAGCGCCAGCCAGGACAGCAAGGGGGCAGAGCTGCCACCCTCTGTGGGGCTCTCCCCCCACCCCATGCAGAGTGTGGGTGTGGGCGAAAGAGAAAGCAAGGCAGAGGAGGGGGCAGGGGGAAAAAGGCTCAAGTCTTGTTTTCATTAAAAAATAGTGCTCTTTATTATAAATTACTGAAATGTTTCTTTTTGAATATAAATATAAATATGTGCAAAGTTTGACTTGGATTGGTATTTGTTGAGTTCTTCAAGCATCTCCTAACAGCCTCGAAGGCCTGGGGGGGGGAGCGGGGGGGGGCGGGGGGGAGAGGACT